AGAGATTGTTAACCATAAGTCCAAAGATAAATGCCAGCTGAAATTTACCCCCTACAGCTACTTCTCCAGAGACGTCCCCCGAAAGGTGCGTGTCCGGCCAGCTCGTGGCCGCCTTGCGCAGGGTGAGACCCGGCTCGTCCCCCTACGCCGGGTACCGCAGCCGGGATGAGCCCCCGCACAGGGCCAGGGAGCTGCGCTGGCCCCTCTGCCCTGGATCTCTGGGGAGGGTAACGGGGACCTCCAGGCACAGCCTGTGCTTGGGCTCCACTCGTGTCGGAGCTGCGGCACTGACCGAGGGCTGGGGACGGTTCGGCTCCGCGCGTGCCGGAGCTGCTGTCCCTGTCCTCTGGGCACTGCCGAATGCACCCAGCGCCGTCTCCTCCTGCCAGGTGACAGGCGTGGTGAGTGACGCCGACGGTAAAGCCCACTACGTCATGTCCGGCACGTGGGACGAGAAGATGGAGTGCTCCAAGATAGTGCACAGCAGCCACGGCAGCACCAGCACGGAGGGCAAGCAGAAGACCGTCTACCAGACGCTGTCTCCAAAGGTCCTGTGGAAGAAGTACCCCCTCCCGTGAGTCCCCTCCTCGGCGCGGGGCTGTGCCAGGGGTGCGGCGGCCGGAGGGGGGTGATGGTGTCACCCCGAGCCCCCCGGGATGGGGATGGAGGGGGCTTCTGTGCCCCGGCCTGAGGGACCAGGAAGGGCACCAGGACTTGGGTGGCCGCATGGCTTTGCCCGGGGGGTGAGCACACAGCAGGAAGGCGGAGCAGGTCCCTGCAAGGGGACAGTGGCTTTGGGGAGCCCTTGCAGAGAGGCTTTGGGCAGCCAGGGGTGCTGGCTGGGTTTTGGGGGCTGCTTTCCGTGTTGGTGAGTCCCTGGCCATGCTGTCCCACCGGGCACGGACCAGCCCTCTCTTGCCACTCCTACCCACAGCAGGGCCACTGTGGGGCACCAAACCTTCCCCAGCCTTTGGCAGCACTCTCGGCTGGTCCCTGCGCTGCAGACGCTCTGCTGGAGCGGTCGCTGTGGAAAGCGTCCTCCGCTTGGTGCCTCCAGCTCTGCGGTCGGGGATCCAGCGGCCCTCGGGTGAAGCCGTTGTGTGCAGACGCTCTGCTGGAGCGGTCGCTGTGGAAAGCGTCCTCCGCTTGGTGCCTCCAGCTCTGCGGTCGGGGATCCAGCGGCCCTCGGGTGAAGCCGTTGTGCGTCTCGGCTCTGAGCAGATTCCCCTCGGTCTGCTGTGTTCAGTCAAAGTTTAGGACTGTCTTTAACACGAAGCTGCGCGGGAGTGATGTAAGTGAGGTTTGGTTTGGTTTTCCTGCAACGGCATCCGCAGGGGGAAGCGGCCTCGACTAGGTCGGGAGCGCCCGGCAGACCCAGCACAGAGAGGTTGGTAGCCT